CCTTGACTCCTAGTCCAGCCTCCTGATGAAGTTCCAGAAGACTCTGGAATTACTGCGGATATGGGCCTTGGGCACACAGTGAGAACAGTGAGGGCTTGGGAGGGTCACTCAAGGGCTCTGTTATTTTCCTCATTTGTAAATGAAAGGGCTGAAGTCTGTGATTCATTTATGGTTTTTTGCTGTAGGGTTATCCTGTGCCTCATCACAGGATAGAAATGAGTGCTCTAGATGGAGAGCAGATGACAGCTAGTGGGGGGAGGGGGAGGTTAGGGAGTGAAGGAATTGAGCAAAAAGGAAAAAAGGACTCCTGGACATGGACAGCAGGGTGGTGAGTGCTTGGGGGAAGGTGGCTATACGGGGACTAAATGGTAATGAAAAAAATACAACAAAGATTAAATTAAAAGAAAAAAAAAAGGATTGAGTGCTGTAGAATTAAAAAAAGAAAAAAAAAAAGTGTTGTGGGTCCCTTCTGCTTTTGCTCAGAGCTACAACAGTAAGGAAAGAGAAAGAAATAATGGAACAGAATTTTTCATCTGTAGGTTGATCTTTATTTTTATTAAATTAACCCATTTATTCTCTTTTCTCTGTTAGCAAATCCAGTCATCGTTTTTTTTTTTTCCTGTTTTTCTTTTCAATCTGGCACCCTTGGCAATATAACAGACAAAGGCAAGTACAATAAATGATACATAATAAATAAGTAAAGGCCAAGAGACAAAATTATTTTTTTAGAGAATTAGTTGTCTGAAAGTTAACAGGACCAAAAGAGGTATCAGTACATCAATGCTAGCAACTATTTTGTTTTCTAACAATAATAGCTTCTTTAAAAAAAAAAGGCTACTGCCCTGGCTGGGTAGGCCAGTTGGTGTGAGCATCATTCTGATCCACCAAAGTTGCAGCTTCAATCCCTGGTCAGAGCACAGACAAGAAGCAACCACTGGATGCATGAATAAGTGGAACAAGTTGATGTTTCTCTTTCCCCCTCAAATCAATAATAAAAAATTTTTTGAACTTAAATAAACGACCCTCACAATAGGGCCCTCAGTTATAAAGTCATTTTTTATAAGACAAATGTTTATGTCACACCCATTCTGTCCTTCTACTGATTCAAATTCTCAAGTCTTATTTCTAAAGACAGTTGTAATAGGTTATATGTCTTTAACGGGGCTTATTTAATAACTGACTTTGAATTTTTTTAATGGAAAAATGGTTTTGCATTTGACCTATCCATCAATAATGGAAAACTTTCCAAAGACATATGAATTCATTATTTTTTGCTAAGATGAGGGTGATACTGATAAATAAACCCTTTAATCCTCATGGGTAAAACTGCTACAGTTTGGTTTGGCTTAGTACTGGGAGACTTATGGCTAAACAGAATAATCAACGTACATGTTAATAGGTATATAAACTACTTAGACTGCTCTCTAAGTTTAATGGATTCAAGAGCTTGTCGTATTCTCCTCCTGTGAGTGAAGCTAGGTTTCTAGAGCTGTTACCTCTTATGAAAGTTCAGTATCTAAGGATCACCGAAATTAGCACAGTTTAATTGCAGGAGTATTTTTATTAAATCTTAAAATCATTTTTAAATCTATTTACGGATGGAAATATTTTCATATTAGATACTTTTCCCATAAGTTATACGTTTGCTCTGCCTGAATAAATATACTTTGGAAATTGTTTATTTCAAAACAATCTCAAGTTTTGTTCCACTTTGAGATTAGTTTCATTATTGTTTAATACAATCATTTATATTCTCAACAAATAAAATAAATCATATGAAATATAAATGGTACAAATCTACATGCAAGCTAATTTATATATCAAATATTTATTAAAAACTTAAGAAGGGCTAGGCCATGTGGGGAATACAAAGATGAACAAGACACTGTCAACTGAAATAGAGAATCCAGTGGGAGGTTAAGCTAGCAAATAAAAAAGATAAATGACAATATAACGTTAAATAAGATTTTAAGTTAAAAATGAAAAGACTTAGGATAGCATATGACAGTCGCATTAATCATTGTGTTTAGAATACTGACTGTGCTCAGAAAGAGGGAAAGGTGTTCAGCCAGGGATCAAGGTCTTGGCTGAGAAGGGTCACATGTGTGGCCAATACAGAGAGTTCATTGCAGAATCAGGTTCTAAGTTTCAAGATTAGAAGGCTTGGGAACCCGGTCTCACCAATAATCAGCTGTCAAAGGCTCGCCCCCATCCCCAGAGCAGGATCTGGCCCATACTAACGAATGAAGCCCACCGCATTCCAGCACAACTTCCCCTCACCCAATCCCCCCACTCCTCAGTAAGCCTTCGTTTTTTTGTGCCATTGTCACTAAGTCCTATAGTTAGGTTTTGGGTCTCCCCGTATTTGAAGGAAAGAGCTCATTATGATGCTTCTCCTATCATTTCCGGAGAGGTGCTCCTGTTCCCCTTCTCCAAAGTCACTTTTCCCCGGGGCCAGGAGCCCTGAGAAAGTGAATGGACTTCAGGCCTCAATCCTTCACCTCCCCGTCTAATGACGTATCTGAGGCTCTCTTCTTGAGTATCTCAGGGGAGCTGAAAGTTCTAAACTGATGGAGAAATTACTTCGAAAAACCTTTGCCTTTCTATTACCATATCCAAATGAGGTTGACAAGCATCTCTAAATGCTGAAAACAACAGGGGTATTTTGTGGTGAAAACCGTCTCCAGTGACCTTTCAGTTTCCTGTAGCACCTGTGAGAAGCTAGTGTGCTTTTCTACGATTACTCCTCCAACCTTCACCAAGCTAAATATTTAAGAAACACGTGTGGGTATGTTCTTCTTTCCCATATCCCTGGAACCTCCTCTGACCAGCTGAACCTTGGCAAAAAACAGGAGCCAAGAGCTGAGGGCTGTCCCTTTCCAAGCATTCTCTTCCACTCAGCCCACTTTCTGTCTACTCTATCGAACAGACTTATTCATCAAGGGGACTTCCAGTTGGTCAGGCCCTCGCGGATGGTTGGGGAGACTTCTAACCACCCAGAGCCCTCTTAGGGATGGTAAGGGATCTGGCCGCTCAGGAGCTCTCAAGGCACTTCAGTTCCAGTCCCTGAAGCCATCTCCTAGGCTAAAAGAAATACAGGACTCTAGAATGCAGACGATGACAGAGTGCTGTCTGTACGTCCACTGTGGCCCTCAGTGCTGCCTTCAGGGGCTCGTCTTTAGGCCAAGGAAACATTTCCTGCCTGAAGCGGCCACGCTGGGGAGTTCTGGCTTAGTGTGTTACTCCGTAAGTCCCCAGGGTTGGCCTTGCTGATCAGAATGAATGCTTTTTCTTCCTTGTCCAATAAATGCCCCTCCCAAAGCTACACATGTCGGGTAAGAACCTTCCCAGGTAACAAAGGTATGCTCTTTGGTAAAGGGGAAAAAGGGTATATAAGTAATTAGGAACACTTGAGCTAGAAATTCAACATGAGCTCTTTCCTCCACAGGAGTGTACGCTTGGCAAGGGTCAAGTCCGAGCCCTCTGTAAGGGAAATTGTCTCAAACGAGAGCAAGGCATAAGGTGGGATGATCACTTTGCTGTGAAGCACATCTTGGTCTACTGTCTGTGGGGAAAGACTCTGGTCCCATTAATAGGACTCCAAGGCCAAGTTCCTCACAGTGGCTATAAGAAACATGAAATGAATTCCTAAATTCACCAACCTAGTTTGGTGGAACTCGGCTAACAGTTGTTATACTTAACACAGTAATACTCCCAGTAAAAGTATGTGCCTCTCAACAAAAGCCAAAACCTAATACTATAATTCTCAGTTACAAAAGTCTGAAAACCACATTCTAAGAAAAACTGGCTTGACTTAAGGATACTAATAGAGAGATCAGGCAGAAAATCACAGCATAAACGAAAGGTGTGGCAATAGATGATCTGAAAGAGACAAGAAACTATCCTTGTTCTTTGGTAACTGAAGCAAAGGCTGATGAGAAAGAACTGGAGACATGGAAATCTTATCTAATCCGGCACAGAGTTTAACAGTGTTCACACACCAACAACTGATTAATCTTACTCTCTTAAAACTGAAATGTCCATACATCTAACAACAAATTGCCAATAACATCAAGTTCTCTGCACCCTCCTTGCAACACAAGAGTAAAGGTGAAAATGATAGTTATCAATATTTTGTTTTTCTTAGATCACATTTTTAAAAGCACTCTTGCCTATCTATCACTGGGAGCATCTGCCAGACACAGCAGCTTTGTGTTTAAGGTTACTGTGCATTGTCAAACCGTATTCCCAGCTCTGCGAGCCAGTGTGAGTCAAAGGGCTTCAGTAGCGTCTGCAAAACAGGGGAAGCAAAGGGTGAACATTCTGCTTTGGAATTCAGTGAGCCAGGACTCCCACACAGCCTTCCTTTAGGGCAGATATGAAATATGTAGTCTTCCCATGTACTTTATAAAATCATCTGGTTGCTTAGCATTTGCAAAAGACTTCCTTTCAGTTATAAAAACAAGTAAATAAGTTTTAAAATATTCCCCTTAATTACCAGAAGAAATAGTCTACACATACTCTCTCCCTTCCTCATTGTTCACAATATCTAAGCAGCATGATCTGATCACTGGAGTATGCTTTAACTATAAATGTTTAATAAGAGCTTGACACCGGCAGGTAGTAACAACTAATTCTAGAACAGGAGCTGAGATGTAGAGCAGCTGGTGTTCTTAGATCACAGATGAATGGAAAAATCCCTGGGCAGAGGCAGTTGGCTTTGAGCTAACTGTATAGGCACACAGATCTATCTGTGTGGCACTTCTACTTAATAAATACCGAGTGAAGAGGCATTAGAACTAAGTCAAAATTCACTGGCCATTGTGTATGGATGACAGTATTCGAGTTCAACAGAACAGTTAACGTCAAAAAAACAAATCACTGAACACAATTACCTCAAAGTTATGATGATCTATTGTACTTGGAGCTCATTGTGAAATACTACTTATTCATAGAGCTCAATGGGAGCCCAAGTCCTTTAATTTCCACCACAGCCTTACCTGCAAGCAGGTGAACGGAGCTGAAGCTCTTCTCCAGTTTACCCAGAAGTACAGTGAGAAAACAGTCTGAAGACAGGGAGGCAACATCCTGGGAGCTTTGGTCATAAACTACAACCTTCTGACTGCAATCAATGTCGACCTAAAATGCAAATGTGAGGCTACTAAGAAAAAAATTGAGAAAAACAATCCCATAAACTACTGGTGCTGAAGCAAATAAGTACTTCCTGTTTTCAGTTAAAATGAGATAAACTTACTGAATAAACCTAGCATATATATAAATGCTTGTAAAAAAATCAACTTTTAAAAGGCAATTTGAAGCTACTTCTGGGTAGATGCGCTCAAAATTACTTGGTTTTAAATCCTTAAAATTATAAAAGGGTAAAGCATAAAAACAAAATAATAAGCAAAAGAAACATAACAATCCTTGAAATAAACATTTAAAATCTGGTTTCTCTACAACAATAAAGAAATCAGTTGTTTAATAAGATTAAAACATAAACTCATTTTTGTTCCTGAAGAAAATAAGTAATAGCCTTACCTATCACAAAGATGACATTTTGGTATATCCTAGAAATAAGTCCTTGAAGATAACATCCTAAAGTCTTAACCAATGTTACCTTACCTTCCCACAAATCGAAAGCACATTCTAATATAATTATTTCTACTGTCGTTCCAAGGCAATCGAAAAGAATGTTCTCCTTTCAGTTAATTTGTAGATAATACAAAATAATGTATTAATATATTATCAATACATATACACTATTATATATTAATACATAATAACCAATGAAATAAAGTAATTACTAACTATAACTTTGTATTAGTGTTTAAATTAATAAAACAATTTTAGCGAGCCATTAATAGAAAAACAGCACTTAACCCAATCAAAGTGAGTTATCCTCTCTGTATAGTGTAGATGTATTCTTAAATGTGACAATATGGTTAATAAATTCTTTTGAGGTATAAGGTACCAAAGTTTAAAAACCAAACTTCCTCAAATTATTTTCACCCCTTAGAAAGGAGGCTTCACTTAAAATTATTCCCCCTTCAGTGTATCCATTTATTGTAAACAGGAAAAATGGAAAGCATTTACCTTATGTTTTGCTGAATGCTGGATGAGTTCTGTAATTAACACTTTGTCCTGTTGCAACCTTCGCTTCATAAGCTTGGAGCAGTTGATATTAATGGCTTCCAAAATGTGGGATGTATTGTATTCCACAAATGGCCGGCTATCAATCAGCAGCACTTTTTCCGTTCCACTTTCCAGCAGAGCCACCAACCTCTCAGTAACAATTTGAGTCCCAATCATCTCATGGGCCATGACAACAATAAGTCCTCTTTTCCCACCTCCTTCTTTAATTTGCCACGATGATGTAATGGTGGTGTGCTCAAAGGCTCAGCCACTCCATTGTACTAGAAATGTATGAGGTCAGGCTGGTGGTGACTGGCAAAAGGAGAGTTAAACCCATTTTCAGCAAGAGCCCTCCAAGTGAATGTCTCTTTCTCTTTCCAGTTGATGTGCTCTTGCAAAGGACTCCTTCCACAAAGCAGCCCCTCACAGTTGATTCATAAAAGAGATGACTGCAATAACCATCCCGCAACAAAAGATGCTTTGGGGCAGCCAGTGCATTACATCATTCTTTACCTTTGCTCCCTCGCTGCAACAGCTTGACACTGGACTGAAAAGCCTACATGAAGAGAAAGACAGACAGAAAACAAAACAAGGGGTCAAAAAAAGAAAGCGCGTCGGATTAGAGACAGTGTATGATTCATAATATTTACTCCATTAATCTAATTCCATACTTGATGCACTGTTTCTTTGGAACAAACAAACAAAAAGGACAACTTGGTATGGCTTCAGAAAAACATACTAATAATAATTCAGTTTCGCCTCAAAATATAAAAACACAAAGACGACAAAACAAGACATATTCATGAATTATAATCACCCTGGACCCAGAACTAAATGAGTTACAGCATGAAATTAAAAAGAGCTATATAAAGCTGCTTGAAGCATTATTATTCCAAATGGCTATCCTCCATTTTCTTTGCTTATTTCTTAAAAATAACACAAAGAACAATAGCCTAGGACCAGGGCAGCAATCCCCTATTTTCAGAACAACAACAAAAAAGAAACCCTTTTCTGATGGCCTGAGAATTACTGTAACAGTATGTGTGTGTGCACACACACGCACACACCCCACAGCACAAATAGCACACATCCCTTTAAAGTGTCCTCAGGGAGGAGAGGAAAGGCAGAAAAATAGGAGCTTCTATAAATTTCAGCTGCCTCTTAAGGAATAGGAGTGAAAATGGGTGATATTCTTGTCATATCAACTGCTGAGTTAATTGATGGGGGCCAGTGATATACCTGGCTCCACCCAGGGCAGTCTCAGCTATAACCCTGGCCAGTCCCCCCAGATCGCCCCCTGACTTCACAGACTCACCCCTCTCCGAAGAGAATCACTGACTCCCTCCTTAGATAATCTCACACCTTAACCTAGGACTCTAGGACAGCAACCTACACAGAGAGCCCTTCATACTAAGACCCAATGCTTCCTGTTCTTTCCAAACTCCTACAGCTGACCATTTCCTAATACTAGTTGGAGTTTTGTGCCCAAAGCTTGGACTTCACCCTGACCTTCAATATTCTCAGATTCCTATCTCCCCTGGTCCACCTCTGCTTATGTGAAATTCTCTGCTACATAAAACTAGACGTCCATGGGCACTCAACTTCTAGAAGATAAAGTACTTGATGGCAGAGGTTTTGTATTACATTTCTCACCTCCAAAGTTTTGCACCTAAGATACTCAATTTACACTGTAATAAGTATAATCCTTCTTGTTCCAAAGAAGTTTAAGATAGTGAGTAAATATTTGATTAAGTGATTTCAGATCAGAATTGTAGAGCCCCCAAACATCACTGAGCCCCTGTTTCCAAAGTTTAGCCTTACAAATTAGAAACCGAAACACAGAGAAGAGGTAGCAGGACAGAGAGGGAAGTGGCCTTCCTTTTATATGTTATGTAGCTCTGGACAAATCATGTAGTCCCTCTGAACCGCAGTTTCCTCATCTGGAAAATGTGGATATAATGTTGGCCTTGTCTCCTCACAATGTTTGTCCTGATGACAAAATTATCTAAGCTTTCTAAAGTGAGCAAGTGAAAAAGCAACTACACATTATACAGAGAAAAGAGGGAAAATGGTGAACAGAGCAGCCCTGCATCTGGAATCTGAAAGGCACCACTCAGCAGATAAAAACAGAAGCCATTCCATCCTCCTGCAGTCCAGCTTCAACCAAGATGTGTCCTTTATACAGTGCCAGACACGCGGACTGAGAAGGCACCTGAGGAATCATCTCACTCACCCCGACCTGTTACAAATCAGCTCCAGAGACTTCCTTATCTGTCCATTTCTTGTCTTCATTATATTAAGGTATGTATTTTTAGTATAGCTTAATGGCAATGAGGTATAAAAGTCATCTCTGCCTTCAGATGAAGAAACTAGAGCAGAGGATTTGTCCTGGCCCATCGACTAATAAATACCCTTGCTTGGCACCTGCCAAAACTACAGCACTGAATCAAGTCCTGACTGCTCAGTGACACAGTTCACAGCAAAGCAAGGCCCTGTACTCAGATTGTCTTGATTCCCGAACCAGGGCTCCTACTACTGGGTGACCCTGTTTTCCCTAAGTACCTGTCCCATAATGAATCTGAACTGAGAAAGAATGACGTGACTTGTCCATGAGGGTGCCTGGGTGGCACAGAAAGTGGAAATCTGAGAACAAGAGCAAGCTGACTCCAACAATGGCACCGAGTCTCCGCGTCTGATTGGCTCCCCACAGTGATAAAATCCGGATGGGACAAAGCAGTTATCTGGGTTAGCAGATCAACGGACAAAGCGAGGGAGATGACAGCAAACATGCAAAAGTTGAATTAGAACGTTCTCATCTTTGCTTCCCTGTCACCAAATCTCGTAAGCCCAAATCACCGACACCAAAGACAGGCTAGGGCACACAGTCTTACTGGACAGAAAACGGTCAGTCCCACCCAGAGAAACGGAGTGAGTAGTTCCAGACACAAAAAGACCCTTTCCCTGACCAAGCAAAGGTCTGGTCAAAGTGACCCTAATATGAAAAAGTAACTGAAGCAAAAGAGTGGAGGGGAAATGAAGATCCAGTTCCGCCTTTTTACCTTGTCCCGAGGCCCCTGAGGGCCCTCCTCTTATGCCTTTATGCCCAATGTCCAACTTTTCCCAAATCGATTATGTGAGAGGCACTTTTGCTGTTATCTCCTTTCAGAAGACCACTAAATAATCCTTTTCTATACATATAAAAAATTTTTATTGTATAGATAAAAATTAAAAAGTCAACAAACTAGTATTTACCAACCTAAACACCAGTAACCAAGTCCACTAAAGAAATATTTGCAAAGTATCCCACTTCCAGAAATAAAGGTTTTTAAAGACTTCATTTATAAAGGTTTAGAGATGGGCAGAGGCAGCATTTTAGTATAACAAAGCAACTACACAAGTCAGGGAACAAAACAGGCAAATCCCCTAAAGAAATGCCAATTTAGCTTCAGCCTGCATTTCAGCAAACAATTTATGTTTTATATTTTACATTTAATATTAACATGAGTTGTATAACAACCTTCCCCTTTTTAATATACAATTTTTTAAGTTTTTCTATGTCACTATTTCATGTTTTAAATTCCATTTCCTATAGAAACGTATCTATGACTTATATAATGGAAATCAGTAGAGTTTTATTTATTGAAATTCACTCTGCACCCAACTTTGCAAGAATATCAATGAAACCCTGGATGATGTGGCTCAGTTGGTTGGAGCATCATCCTGTAAACTGAAAGGCTGTAGACTCAATTCCCAGGGCACATGCCTGGGCTACAGGTTTGGTCCCTGGATGGGGTGTGTGCGAGAAGTAACCAATCAATGTTTCTCTCTCACATCGATGTCTCTTTTCTATCCCTCTCTCTCTCTCTTTCCCTTGCCCCTTCTCTAAAAATCAGTAAGCAGTTCCTTGGGTGAGGATAATAAAAATAATAATAATAATAATAATAGTATCAATGAAATAAAGTATACTACTGAATTAGTTATGTCAGAATCATAAGTTAAGGCTATTTTAATGATAAAGTAAACTTGGGGAGTCTGTTTTATTAATGATATAAAGTCCAACTGTATAAAAAGCAATACTTGCCATTAATTAGCTAAGAGGAAAAATGTTTTATGTTCTTCAGTACTTGCAGCCTTTAAAGCTGGTGCCCACCCAACCAGAAATTTTAAAAAGATTAAGATCCTTTTGAAATGATTCTATTAAGCATCTCACTCCTCTTCTCAGACAAAGCATTAGTCTTTTCAATTTACCAGGCACAATCCTGGCTTCTAAGTCAGGCATACTGACACTAGGTATATTTTTAAAAAAAAAAGAGAGCGAGCGAGAGAACCTTTCTCACATAGTTCCCACCTCTGCCCATAGGTTACTTTCTGTCCGCGCCAGGCACTGCGGCCCCCACACTGCCACTCCCGAGGCCCACATCGAGGCCTACAGCAGGCAGGGTCAGGAGCAAAGCTCATGACCACGCCCACAGGTCTGAAAAGTGGGCTCCACGAGAGGGCAGGGGTTGCCCCTCAGAGAGGCACATTTCAATTTTAAACACTTCCTTTTCACAAAGAAATTCTCAGAAGGAAAAGGATCCCATGTCTATGGGGTGCTTACAAGGCTCGTTCAGTGAGGAGAGCAACTGAGCCCTATTTGGTTGGGCTTAGCTCAAGTTCAAATTCTCAGAGAATTTATGGAAAGGATATAATCAGGTGAGAAGTTTACTTTTATTAAACTACAGGCTAGTCTTAAATTTTTTTTTCTTCAATAAACCTGAAGAAATAGGCAACAAGATACACCAAACAGCTTTTCAGTAGAGCCTTAAGCACAGACTTTCAATAACAGAAAAATTGAACAAATCACAGGGGAAAAACACAGGCTCTGATGCCTGGAAGCAAGCAAGAACACCTCGCCCATGGACCATCTCCATTCTACAGTGACTAATGCAACTCTGCCTCACATGCTATGGGTTAACCTGACAGAAATTCTGATGTCTGATATTTGGTACCAAAAACAAAACAAGACATTACCAATACCAAACAAAACAATACCAAAACAAAAACACAAACACAACAACAAAATACCAAAGACAAGAAGGCTATATGAGCTTCGTATGTTTTTTAGTTGCTTATTAATGTCTTGACTATATTTTCTTAGCCTAAATTAGAGGACACATTCTGACAAGAGGTGGCAATGATGGCACAGGGTGCTTGAAGCACAGTCTAGATAGCACTAGGCATAGAAATGCTTGTTAGCACCGTAAAATCCAGCCACCTCTCACTAACTCGACAGCACATTGAAAGAGCCCACTGCTATCAGAGGCTCAGGTTGTCCACATACACCTCAAGGATCCACAGATAAAGGCAGAAGAGCTGCCATCCTTCAAAGACTAAGTATTATGCCTTTGCTGCAGACACGGGCCGGGCTGGGCCAGCCCCAGACAGAATCCAAATTTGGGAGAAGTCTTCAGGGGGTTCCTGCTAAGGGAGAGCACTGTACTCAGGGCACTGACAGGTTCAGCTGGAGCCTCCGTCTTTCCTTCTCAGCACTGTCTCCTGTTTATGCTCACCTGC